TGGAGCCAAAGATTCATTATTTTTGGCTTGAGATTATGATGGAATAAAGCAAAATGCTCACTAAACTGTCTGCGCTTCTTTGTTATGAAGCAGTAGTCACTCATGCAATTTTGGACGCGCTTTTCACTATGGGTCATCCGGAAATAGTCTCTTTGTGCTTTAGTACAGGGGTAAGACTGCGTACATCCGACCCCCCCTTACCCCACCGTAGGTGGGAGCCTTTGCGGCACTGGGGTAAATGAAAATGAAAAACGAAAATGAATACAGTAAGACCAAACATAAGAATAAATTTCCTTTACATTTTCCCTGTCCCAAGCATGTTCTGTGATCCTAACATACTCTTACTATGCCTTAACAGTAAAAACAGAATATGGGGCTGTGCTTGCTTATCAATTTTGAGCATTTTTTCATCTGTTATCATACTTAGGAAAAAAAGGGTCGTGCGCCTCCACCATTGTGGTACCTTAGTGCTGATGATCTGAATAATCTGCCATCGTAAGTGGGTTCTATTTATTCGCTTAGTGGTGCTCATTATATATTGGTATGTTAAAGCTGCTCTAAGGATTGTGAAATATAGGTACATGAGAGGTAGGCTCACTCTTGATAAGGTCAATGCAGCTATTGATGACATTGCTATGTATGCTGAAACAAATTCCCAGCTCATCAGAGCACCTAGAAAGAAGGTAAGGTGCCCCTTCCTCTTAGGATAATGGACATTTCTATATCCTGAAAAATGCTAGGGAAAGGGGGCAAGTGCCAAAGAAAGTTGTTTTCGTATGTTGTTCATGGGAAATGCAAAGGAAAATGAAAGATGATTAGTTCTTTTATGTTCTTATACATAATTCTATCTTTCTTAATCTTTGTCATAGTTTAAATTGCTAAAAGTGAGTATGAAAACATATCTAAAATAAATTTGGTTAAGTTTTAGTCCCCACCACCACTGAACGCTTAAGGTATGTTTTGATCCTGGAAAATGCTAGAGAAAGGAAATCAAATGGTAAGAAAGTTATATTCTCATATTTGAAAATGCTAGGGATAATAAATATTATTAGTTTTTTTTATAATTATACATTAGTATAATTGTTTAGATTTCTTAGTAACTATATAGTAAAAAATAGTTGAACTAATATCTAAAATACATCTATTTAGTTTGAGCATGTCTTTATTTTTTCCAAAATTTATATCCCCTATTTACATTTTCACTCCCTATATTCTTTTCCTAATGTTTTTCTAGTTCTAAATGGACTCTTGATGCTCTCAATCAATCTTGAGGCATAATCTCATGAAATGAAAATGTGTTTTGATTATTAAATTTGTCTCTGTGCAGTTGGCTGAGAATATCGTGGAGAAAGCAATGGTAACTGAACCCAATATTTTGCTAGCATAAGTTGACATACTTCAATCATACATCTTACAATTAATAGAGCTGTGATTATATTTGATTAGAGCTTTGAAACCAAAACCCCTCATATTCTTGCAGGAACTAAGAGATGTTGCTGCAACAGAAGCATTTAAGGGGAAACACTTCTTTCTTGAGTCAGACATTAAAGGCCCTTCACTGAAACTTGACCATACAGGAAAAGCAATACTGACTGTAAGTTCTATCCTTTGGCACACATTTTAGCTCTTGCTTAGTTCAAGACTATGGAGAGGGGAATAGTTTGGTGGAGCTATGGACTCGATAGACTCCTAATAATCCACTCCCTACTTTGGTTATTTTTGAGGATTAATCTTTTTTCTTAATGTCCTTTTCACCCTTTCGACTAAAAGTGTTCCACATTACTATCTTATACTCCGTATTATTATATATCGTTTATCTTCTTTATCTTTTTATATTCTAATGTTATTTTTATCCTCTAACTTTTTTATGCTCTTTTATCTTTCTTATATTCTTATGTTATTGTTATCTTATATTTATTTATCGTTATTTTATCTGTTTTATCTTACTTTTTCTCCCTTCTTGTCCGTCTTCTCTGTTGGCATCAATATCATAGATCGATTCATGTTAGCCGATCCCGAATTCTTTTGGGATTAAGGCTTGGATGTTGTTGTTGTTGTGCAATAAAAAGTTACATCAAATACATCAATGTTTCTCTATACCTTTTCTAAATAGTAATATCTGAACCGAACCTTGGTTGCCTGGCCCCTGTACTGGATGGGTGACTCGATGGTAATGTAAGTTTGATTGTACAAAGGTTAGTTATTTAACCTAAAGTACTTTTTTATTCGAACCAAATCCAATATACGTCGCTTTGATATGACTCAAATGCGCTTCGAGTTTGTCTCCGTTGCGACTCCAGTGTGGGTCAGAGACTTTGACACGGTTCAAATGTGGCTTCAACGTGGTTCTGATATGGCTCCGACGCGGCTCTGATATATACTCAGATATTCCGAGGGCTCAGATGCAACTTTACACTCTGATACGGCTCGATGGCCTGAATTCAACTTTGATATGGCTCCAATGCGGCTCGGACACGACTTGGGCATGGCTTAGATGTGGCTAGAACCCTCTGAAATGATTCGGATGTTGCTTGAACGCAGTTGAGATATGGCCCGGATGCAGTGCGGGTGTGGCTTAGACCCGGCTCATGTATTTGGCCTGTGAAAACTTTTATTCTTGTGAGACTGTCTGCGTGAAATAAAAGAAATCAGTATCAGTGTTTTTATTTAATGCTTCCTTCCAGTCTTCCAGAAAGTTGCAACTTGCAACCTTTAAAATGAGACCCTTCTCGTTTGCAATCTTCATTCTGTTTTGCACATACACTTCATTTTAGTTGGAGATGTAATAAAACAAAATATAAATTTTGGTAGGCGACTACTAGTACAAGACATTTTGCCTTATAGATAAAGGACTTACTTTTATGACCTGAGCCACAGTTATTCGGTTAACATTGGTGCGCCAAATAAAAAACTAATATACTTCCTCAGTTCCTCCATCACAAAAATTTGCCAAAATTCCTTATTTTTCCATCCCAAAAATTGTGATTTTCATTTAAACTAATAAACTTGCTGTTAAAGTCATTTCTCTCTCCTTTGTACTGTACAAATCTTAATCATTCATTTTTTATTTTATAATTCCACATGTATATCAAACTCGGCCATGTTTTATGGACGTATAGAGCATCAATCATTGCTATATTTCTTTTTTGATTTGCAGATCCTTCGACACACTGGTCGTGTTACTGAAGGTCGAAGTGGGCATAACCGTGTTTTTATACTTATAAGGCCTCAACAAATTTAATAGGTATGTTATATGAATCTAGGAATGGTTGAATGTAGTAATGTACATCCGCCACCACCTTTATGTGTTAGTACACCATATCTATGGTTTGATACTCTGATGGTGTATTTATTCCCTTTGAGTTGTTGTGTGGCCGATCAATTTCAATACAAGCAAGCAGGAAGGGATCACGGAATTATGGCTAAAGGGGGCTTTTTTTCATTATTCAAAAAAATATTTTCATTAGCTTATACTGGACATTTAAAATTATCACACTCTAAACTCATACGTATGATGACAAAAATAACTTCGATTTTATAATTGAAAATGCTCTAAAGAAAGAATGGGTGCAATACTAACAATATCAAACACTACTTCATATTGGTGCAGTATGTTTAAAGAAAATATACGCTGCTATTGCCCATTGATGCATTATGTTTAAAGAAAATATACGCTGCTATTGCCCATTGATGCATTATGTTTAAAGGAAAAGTTAAAAAAAACAAGCGTGCTATATCTAAAGTTGGATAGGTATTTAGTATATATTGATCGGGAAAACGCAAAATATACCGTGAGATAGATCATTATACCGTGTAAATGGTGTACAGATCCTAATATTAAACCGCATTATTTATTCTTCATTGGAGATTCATTCACAAATATGTTCGGTCATCTCCTTCATTTATTTCTTTGATTTTTTCTTCTTTTACTTTTCTTCTTTGATTACCTTCTTCTCTTTTGATAAAATATTATTAATCTAATCATAATTTCGGTTTTCTATGGGGTGTTTGGAACTGATTCTGCTTTTGCTTCTTTTTTTAATGCAGAAGCAGAATCAGAATCAGTTTTCAGAAGCTGGTACCCTCTAGCTTCTAAAAAAACTGATTCTAGGAGTAAATTAGAGCACCAGAATCACTTCTTCATTTTCACCCAAACACCCCCTATATCTTCAACATTCATTTTCATCATTTTCATTTACCCCAGTGCCGCAAAGGCTCCCACCTACGGTGGGGTAGGGGGGGTCGGATGTACGCAGTCTTACCCCTGTACTAGAGCACAGAGAGACGGTTTTCGGATGATCCATAGTGAAAATCGCGTCCAAAATTGCATGGAGTGACTGCTGCTTCATAAAAAAGAAGCGCAGACAGTTTAGTGAGCCATTTTGCTTTATTCCATCATAATCTCAAGCCAAAAAATAATGAATTTTTGGCTCCATTGCAAATGATGGAAAAATGAATTTTGTATTAATTTTCAACATTAAACTAGTTTTTTTCTTCTCTCTGGATTCAAAAATGAAAGTGTATTAATTTAGAAGAAAAATTCATATTTGTATTTTAAGGCTTGCAGCTTTTCTTCAAGTTTGATTTTTGTAATTTTTTGATTCATATTCGTGTGATTCATATTTGAATTTCAACAAATTAAAGTTATTCGTGTTCAAGAGTTCACATTTGTTGTTACGTGAGATTTTATTTCTAGTAACATGACTACATGAGTTACATTTTATGCACGTGGGGCACATTTATAGCATATACGTAATATTAAACAACTTATAATTCAACACGTCTAAAATTATACAGTATTTCCATTAACCTGACTTACATTTAGACTTGCTTCCAAGTACCAAGTTTTATTTTCATTATCACTCGATTAGCATTTTTGACTAAAAAAACATTAACTTTTTAAACTTGCCTCAAAATACATTTCCATTAATGTAATATACATTTTGACTTGTTCAAATTACATTCTCATTAATGCAATTTACATTTTGGCTTAGTTCAAGTTTCATTTCTATTAACTTAATTTACATTTCGACTTGACTCAATATACATTTCCATAAACATGATTTACATTTCGATTAGTTACATTGTCAAAACTCCACATTTTACATTTTACCAATATCATGTCGAATCATGTCGAATCTTATGGCGCACTTTGAATTTTGGGAGAAGTATACATAGCATTTTTTGGAGCGTTATCCAAGACAACACTAGCAACTTGTTCATTATATGATGCTAAAAGTGAAATCATTTCAAGAAAATTACCTCGATTTTTAGAACTAGAGGATTCATCATGACCTCGTAGAGCACATTCTTGCGAAGCCAACCACCGAACAACATCAATAGAGGTCATAACCCGTAAGCGGTTACCTTCCTTCATCTCTAGAGTTTGTGCTTCGATGACTTTATCAATATGGTGAGATTGATTCAATAAGTCTTGACAACTTTTCCAAGGATTATTGTGTGGAGAACATGGATCTTGGTCCACACGATTCAAGAAAGCACAATTAGCCCCGTCATTAACTTTTTTCCAACTATTAAAACTTTTAAGAGTGAAAGCATCAGTTCCATGACGAGTTATAGGTTTTACGAAACGGTAACATGGAAAGCAATATGTTGCATCTTGTGTGGGGGAATACTCCAACCAATGAAACTTTTGAAATCAAGAAAACTGAAATCTTCGAGGACGCTTCTCATCGGATAGGGGATACTTTGCCAAATGTATTTGATATGGCCCCATCTCCAGATATGCTCGAATAACTTCATCTCTTTGATTAACAGGATATTCCCATATCTGAGGGTGTTTTCCGGGATCACGTTCTAGATTCTTGATATCAAATGAAAGACTAGAACAACCCAAATATTTGGAAGTATTAGTAACTTTCACATTTGCAGTTTCTACATCGACCGGATTACTCGAACTACAACTTGAATCCACAATTTTTCTCTTAAAATGAGAGTAAATGCTTGTCTGCTTCTTCATCTTTCAGTCATTCAGTATATCCTTCACAAAGAAATTAGAAAAACTACTTCAAAATACTGAAAGATAAAAGAAATACACAAAGACACAACCATCTAAAATTGATAAAATTGATTAATTAAGGACTAACCATCTAGCCCTAACACTCTAAAAGGCTAAAAATTATAACACAATTTAACACAATCATCACAAAATAAGAGAGAAAAAGTCTAAAAAGTAAAAATGCTTTAACTAACCTGCGCGGCTGCGCCATAGCTGGAGCCTAGAGGCAGAGCCTGAGAGAAGCACAACGTGGACAGTGGACGGCGGAAGCACGGTGTGGACGGCGGAACAAGCTGAGAAAAACTACAGCTTCGCATGTTGGCGTTCTCCATTCTCGGCTTCTCGGCTTCTTTTGTTATTCGGCGAAACGGCGGAAGAACTAACCCATGTTGTGCGCAGGCTTGATTATGGCCTATGGGATAGGCCGTGGACTGGGCTCTTTTGTGGTGGGCTGGGATTCCTGAGAATAAATAATGGGGTGGGCAGTGGGCTGATATAATAGTGTTTCCATATTTTCTATTTTTTAGACTTTTAAACAATTGGGTTTCTACGAGTGGTTGTGGTTTGGGGGCGAAAATATTTTGAGGGGGGTTCAAATTTTTTTTGAGGGGCGAAAATTATTTGTTAAGGAGGGTAAAAAAATCGTATATATATACACTAAAAAAAATTGTTGGTGGGACAGACCCCTTGGGGTAAAAAAAAAGTTAACTCTCAAACTACAGCTTGGGGAAAGATGAAAGATTGATCGCGCATTTACTCGAGGTAGCCGTTTGAGAAGTCTCCTAAATTCATTCATTGATGACTTGAAGTCTACTTACACAATTGCTCCTACTTATCTCAATTCTTATGTTTCATACTCCTAAAGTTTATTGACCTTACACAAAAGTACACACATGCTAAAGAATATCACTAAAGATCTATATATATATATATATATATATATATATATATATATATATATATATATATATATATATATATATATATATATATATATATCCTTTACAATTTAAATATTTCTGTCACTTATATTTATGAAAACACATAGAAGTTTGTGAAATAAAAGATACTACCTCCATCCCATATTGGTTCTCATCTTTCAATTTGGCACGATTATTAATAAAATGGTTAAAAAGTAAAAGTTATGGTTGAGATTCGAGTAGAATAAAGTGAAATGATAAGGCCCACATATTACTTGCCGAAAAAGAAAACATAACATTCATTTTGTAACAATCTAATTAAAAAGGAAAGTAGGACAACCAAAATGAGACGGAAAGAGTAACATATATTACTAGAGTGTTACAAGATTAGCAGATTAGAATAAGATGAATGGTAGGGTACACACTCCATAAATAAGTGAGAGTATCATAATTGTATGTTCAAACTACCTAATTATAATAGAAATTTGATAATATTCTTATCAAACATATTTTAATAATTACAAAATAAATAAATATTAATATTAAGTTGCGAGTTAATGGTATTATATCATTTGATTAGATAAAACTATACCTACAAGGTCCAAAATAAGACTTATAAACTATTTTAATAACGTAAATGTAGTGAATAATAACATTAAACATATATAAAACATAAAAATAATTAAATAACACAAGAATTCATTACTTTTTTAAATATACTATTGGTATTATTATTATTGTAATTATGTATCAATTTGTAGTACTTAATTTTAACAAATTTGAACCATTTTCACTAAAAAAACTCATTACGATTTTGCTACGATTTGGGTACGATTTTAAATGATTCTGCACGATTTCTGTACAATTGTTTTATGATTTTTTATGATTTTATGATTTTACGATTTTACATGCGATTTGAATCGATTTATTAATGTAGAATCGTAAAATCATACGATTTTATGATTTAAATCGAGATTTTAACAACCTTGGTTGAAATAATACTTGTATAACTAAAAGTGGAAATCATTCTTATGTGTATTTAGGTTTAGAGATATTTAAAACATGTATATATATATATATATATATATATATATATATATATATATATATATATATCTACATTTATACAAAAACATATAATAATATATGAGCTCGTTTGGTAATACTGAAATCGGCTGAATCGGCTGATTCTGTTGTTATTTTTATGAAATTCTGGCTGAAGTGGTTGTAATGGCTAATTCTGTTTATTTATGAATAAATTATATTTAAAATATATTTTATTAATAAAATATATTTTAAAATTATATGAAAAAATAGCTAAAATGGTCATCTACAGTTATTTCAACCAATACAGTCAAAAAGTATCCCCAACCTTACTTTTTCTTATTATTACACAGATATTATATACTCCATCTGTCCCGTATTTAAGTTCCCACTTTCCTTTTCTGAATGTCCCAAACAAGTTCGCACTTCCTTATTTGGCAAACAAATCTACACCAAAATAGTGCCAAAACAATGCAAAGTAGTGTCAAACAGTATCACAACAATGTACTCTACAGTAAAATTTACCCTCCGTATATTTATTTTCTTAATAAGTATGAAGTCAAACCAGGAACTTAATTCAAAACCATAAGAAGAAGTAAGTTTTTTTACAACATACCTGATGGAGTATATGGGTCCAGATCCCATGACCCACATACTCAAGAGAATAAGAAGCACAACTATCACCCAGCAGGCCCTCCGTCGGCCAGATGACCCTCCATCGGTCGGAAAGACATCAACTCAGAACATGGTCCATAAGCTAGGAGAACCGGGGTGTCCCCGTCGGCCGGGTCTCCGTCGGCCATGTCTCCGTCGACCAGACCTCCGTCGACCAGACCTCCATCGACCACAAAGATCTCACAGAGCCGGATTTCATACTTAATCAATTTACATACTTTGTATTCGGCCCAATAGAGGCCCTATTGTAAACGGGCCTCCCAAGCCCAAGTCTTGGAAGCCCAATCCACATTTTCTCTATAAATACATCCTTAGGGGTAGTTGTAGAGAGTTCACAAAATCATTTATTACAATATTCATTGCACTTCTCTCCTTAGATCTCACTTCTTTCTTTAGATCTCACTACTCTATCAATACCTTTTCAGTTTTTCTAGTTGCTTTCGTTTTTCTATTTGTAATACTACGTACATACTACGTAGTTTACGTGGCAGCCCGTAAGGTTTCATTTTTTATCTTTTTGCTTAGAAAATTCTCCAACTTTTCATACGAGCTCGAATTAAATGTAATTTTACTGATTAGGTTGTATAAGTTACTAGTAGTCATGTATATTTAACTTTTCTATTTTAATATTGCAACATATGCACATGCAATATTGATTTCACCCGAAAGATTTTGGAGAATCATCACTTTCATAGTTCCATTTTACTTGTCCTACTTTCTTTTTTGGATTGTCCTAAAATAAGTGTCTTCTTTTCTCTTTTGGAAAGAAATGTGTGACTTACACCATTTCACTTTGTTATACTCAAACCTCAATCATAACTTTTATTTTTTTAACTATTTTATTAATAACCGTGACAAATCAAAGTGAGACACATAAAATGGGAGGGAGGTAGTATATTACGTGTAAAAGTTCTGAGTTCAAATGAATATTCTTCAGGGAAAATATTCAAATGGGTTTAGGAGTTAGGAGCCTACAAATAACAAACTAGATGGCATCTTGTGAGTTGTTATTAAAAACAAAACAAAAAATGCGAATAGCAACTAAAGAAGAAAATATTTATTTTTCACTTTCTGAATGTGATTGTTGGCTTGTTGCCAAAAAAGTTTGAACATATACTTATCTTATACTCCCGGCATCCCGTTCTTAATTAATTTGACACTTTGACTTCACATATATTAAGAAATTTTACTGTACAGTACACTGTTGTGACACTGTTTGACACTATTTTTGCATTGTTTTAGCACTGTTTTGAACTGTTTTGGTATAGATTTGTTTGGAAAATAAGGAAGTGTAAACTTAGGTGGAACATCCAAAAGAGGAAAATGTAAACTTAAATAAGAACCGGAGGGAGTAAAATAACATACACGGAGTACTTCATATATATATGGAGTAGTTAATTCGGGAATATTAAATCTCCCTCTTTTTAGGAATAAATGTATCATGTTTTTTTATCATCAATAATATATACTCGTGTATATATTATGCATACAACTCATACTCGTTTCTGTTTTCCATTTAATCATTTAGTTTTATACTTCTTTAATTTGCTATGTTTTTATATGTTATTCTAGAAAAAATCACAAGTAAAATGTGTTTGAATAAACGTCTATAATTGGTTGATTTATTGAAGGGAAATGATCAAATAATAAGCCTTTCAATTATTTCCAATTCATCACTTAAATCCTTCTACTAAAAAAAGCATCTTATTTTCTAAAAAAGCGGCATATAAGTACGCTTACTTTTTAAATACAACCAATCAAGCCATTTTGATATGCAATAATAGGCTTTTTACATAAAAAAACTCTAAA